CATTAATGTTTGCTTTTACCATTTTGTACCCAGTACCCTGCTTCCTTCTTTTTTCTGTTTTCTTTTCATTTGAATGTCTAACTCATTTATTTTCACTCCTTATTTTCTGGTAATTAAGATGTTAAAGTATATAAATTTGCCTCTGATATCCTTCCCATTGCACCTGATGTTTCAAATATCATTAAACTGGAGTTTGAAAAGAAGGCACTTTTGAGCACCAGTTATTCTGGTAGGTTGGAGTGGGGCCTAGAAATCTGTATTTTGACAAGCTCCTCAGACAACACTTAGGGAAATCCCTTCATAATTATTGATGTGTATGTTGTTGTTTTTCTAAATGCACTCTAATAAGATCTTTGATTTTCACTTTGTCCCATAAGTGTTTAATTCTGTTTTAATTATCAAGTGTTTGAGGTTTTCATTATTATATTATATATTTTATTATTATATATTATTATATATTATTTCATTATTTATATCTATTTTTGATCTATTGAGATCATAGAAGATGCCATGATATATTTTTTAAAAATAAGCTCCATCGGAATATAAAAAATAGTGAAAGGGAATAGATGAGAAAGGAGAAAAAATGAGTGGAAAATATCAGAAAGGGAGACAGAACATGAGAGACTCCTAACTCTGGGAAATGAACTAGGGGTGATGGAAGGGGAGGTGGGTGGGGGTGGGGGTGACTGGGTGACAGACACTGAGGGGGGCACTTGATGAGATGAGCACTGGGTGTTATTCTATATGTTGGCAAATTGAACACCAATAAAAAATAATTTAAAATAAATAAATAAATAAATAAATAAATAAATAAATAAATAAATAAATAAAATAAGCTCCATGCCCAATGTGGGGCTTGAACTCACAACCCCAAGACCATTACTGAATCAGCCAGGTGACCCATCCATGATATTTTCTTAATTTTTCTCTATATTTTAAGAAAATTAAACATCCAAAAAATATAATGATATTAAACAAATAATCATATTCCCACCACCAAAAATTTACTTTCTATTTTGCCATATTTGCTTCCATTTTAAAGATGAAATACATATTTATAGATTTAATTCAATTTCCTTTTAATAACTATGTTCTATTTAGTCTTCCTCATGAGTGTAAGTTTGTTAGGAATGATTCTAGCGTATATCCAATAGTTTCACATACATACATCTATGCATGCATTTATAGAATGCATCTATAAATACCATGGAGTGTTGTATTAATTAAGTTTTTGAGATATACATATTAATATATGTAGATCTACTTCATTCTTCTTTTGTATTCTATTAATCATAATGTATTTATTTAAAATTTTATTTAGGGATCCCTGGGTGGCGCGGCGGTTTGGCGCCTGCCTTTGGCCCAGGTCGCGATCCTGGAGACCTGGGATCGAATCCCATGTCGGGCTCCCGGTGCATGGAGCCTGCTTCTCCCTCGGCCTGTGTCTCTGCCCCCCTCTCTCTCTCTCTGTGTGTGTGACTATCTTGAATAAATAAAAATTAAAAGAAAAATTAAAAAATAAAATAAAATTTTATTTAAATTCCAGTTAGTTAATATATAAAGTAGTATTACTTTCAGGTGTATAATATAGTGATTGAGCATTCCCATACAACACTACACAAGCATGCTCCTTAATCTGAATCACCTATTTCACCTATCCTTTTACCCACCAACAACCATCAGCCTGTTCTCTACAGTTAAGCCTGTCTCTCAGCTTGCCTCTCTCTCATTTTCCCCCTTTGCACATTTGCTTTGTCCCCCAAACTCCACCTATGAGTGAAGTCATATGGCACTTTTCCTTTACTGACTGACTTTGCTTAGCATAATCCCACTAGCTCGATCCACATCATTGGAGATGGCAAGACTTCATTCTTTTTTAATGGCTGAGTTATATATGCATACATATAATATATGATATATAATATAAATGTACATATTATATGCTGTATACATACATATGTATATATATGTATATAATACATATGTTATATACATATAATATAACTCAGTCATAAATTGAGGAATATAATTGAGCCATATAATTGAGGTATCTTCATACCTTTTTCCACAGTGGCTGCACCAGTTTGCATTCCTACCAACAATGCAGGCAAGAGGGTTTCCCTTTTTTCACATGCTCACCAATATCATTTGTGTCTTGTGTTGTTAATGTTAGCCATTCTGGCAGGTGTAAGGTGCTATAACATTGTAGTTTTTTTTCTTTTTTTTTTTTGTATATTCCTCTGATGATCAGCAATGTTCAGCATTTTTTCATGTGCCTGTTGGCCATCTATATATCTTCTTTGGACAAATGTCTATTCATATCTTCTACCCGTTTTTAATTGGATTGTTCAAAGTGGATTAAAGACCTAAATGTGAGACCTGAAACCATAAAAATCCTAGAAGTGAACACAGGCAGTAACTTCTTTGACATCAGCCATAACAACTTCTTTCTAGATAGGTCTCCTGAGGCAAAGGAAACAAAAGTAAAAATAAACTATTGGGATGCCAACAAAATAAAAAGCTTCTGCACAGTAAAGGAAACAATCCACAAAATTAAAATGCAACCCATGGTATGGGAGAAAATATTTGCAAATGAGTATCTGATAAAGGATTAGTATCCAAAATATATAAAGAACTTATAAAAACACCCAAAAAACCCAAATAACCCAATCAATCATACTATATAAATCCATTCCCCTATTGATAGATATCATATAGATATATATTTTTTCTTATCTTGAGATTTATTAAGATATTTGCAGCATAATGACTTTCAAGTGCTGTTAAATGTCAGCTAGATATGTTATAGAAATTCATATTAAATCTGAAATTAGGGATGTTTGGGTGGCTCAGTGGTTGAGCATCTGCCTTTGGCTCGGTGTGAACCCGCAGTCTGGAGATTGAGTCCCACGTTGGTTTCCTACCTGGGCCGGTTCACCCCTCCTTAGGCAACCTGGTGGTCCCCCACTCCCGGGAGGTCACCATATTGATGCCGAACTTAGTGCGGACACCCGATCGGCATAGCGCACTACAGCCCAGAACTCCTGGGCTCAAGCCATCCTCCTGCCTCAGCCTCCCGAGTAGCTGAGACTACAGGTGCGCGCCACCGCGCCCGGCCCACGTTGGTTTCCTGCATGGAACCTGCCTCTTCCTCTGCCTATGTCTCTGCCTCTCTCTCTCCGTCTCTCATGAATAAATAAATAAAATCTTTTTTAAAAATCTGAAATTGTTTTATTATTCAAGTGCTATGTCTATTTATTTCTTTATCTTAATTGAATTATGTAAATATCTTAATGTCTGCCACCAAAATTGTGTTCTCATCAATTGCATCCTTTAGTATCTCCAAAAATGCCTTCTGATTTTTAAAAACTTCTAAATGTGCTGCATTCTTTTTAAAAGTTATCAGAAAAATTTAAAATTTATTTTTAAAATGAAAGCATAATTTCATAATTTCAGCACTAAGTAATATCCACAATTAATATATCAGTGCATAGTGTTCCAGATTTCTATTTGCACACACACTTAAAGAGAATTTACCTATACAAACTGTTTAAAAATAGTTTTAAATAAAAATATATTTATTGTATCTTTTGGTCTTTTGGTATTGAAACATATCCTTGAATAATTTCTAACTATGCAGAAATATACAAAGCTGAAAGTGAAAATACTACTATTTCCCTATAACTACTATTTATTTCATTTTTTAAAAAGATTTTATTTTTTTAATTTATTCATGAGAGACACAGAGAGAGGCAGAGACATAGGCAGAGGGAGAAGCAGGCTCCCTGTAAGGAACCCAATGCAGAACTTGATCCTAGAACCCTGGGATCATGCCCTTAGCAGAAGAAGGCAGATACTCAACTGCTGAGCTACCCAGGGATCCCTATTTAATGCATATCTTTATACTTTATATCAGGTGAATTAATCACCGATTTTTTACACAAAGTAAATAGTATTTTATTATGTGGTAATATCATAATATATTTTATCAACCCTGTGTAAGCACACTAATTATCTTTATTTTTTTTATTTTTTAAAGATTTTATTTATTTATTCATGAGAGACAGAGAGAGAGAGGAGAGACACAGGCAGAGAGAAGCAGGCTCCTTGCAGGGATCCCGACAGGGGACTGGATCCTGGCACCTCACGCCCTGAGCCAAAGGCAAACGCTCAACTGCTGAGCCACCCAGGCATCCCTGATTATCTTTAAAAATAATTTTAAGATGCTGCAGTGCATATACATTTTATACATATATATTTTTGCATCCTTATCTAGTTACTTTCATAGAAGTGTCTAAAGAAGGCATTTCTAAATAAAAATGGAAATATTTAAAATGTTGATACATATTTTCAAATTGCCTTACACTTATAACAATTTACACTTCAACTGATAAGAGTGCATTTTCTCAGCTCACTGATGATAAGGTTTATCATTATTTTCCTTTTTCCAATATGATAAAGCAGAAGTAGAATCTCACTATCTTAATTGAATTTCTTTGATTACTAGTAAGCTTAAGCATCCATTTTTATGCTCACTGGCCATTTGGGTTTCTTTTGTAAAATGCATGCTCTGGCCCAGTCTGCTCCCCTTCCCCCACTCTGGCTGTTAGTCTTTTCCTTTTGCTTAGTCAGAGTTCTTTTTCATTTTTCGTCTTTTACATGGGGTGAGTTTGATTCAGGCTTTCATCCTTTCTTGCCTGACAGACTTTATATATATTTTTATATATAATATATTCTACATGGGTCTTTTAATATCCTCAGAAGCTAGCTCCTTTTCTCTCTCCCTTCCTCCTTCCCTCTCTTTTGTCTTCTCTGTTCTCTTTGTTTCTTTCTGTCTTTATTTTTCTCTCTCTCCCTCTTTATTTTTTCCAGTACAGAAGTTTTTAATTTTGAACGAGTCGAATCTGTCATTTTCGGCCTGGCGCCGCGTCAGCAGAGGGGGCGGGGAGGAGAGCGCGGAACTGGGGGAGGGGACAGGGCGGGGAGGAGCGGGCCGAGCAGCTGCAGGAGTTGCTGGGAGCGCGCGCGGTGTGATCACTCGGCGTCGGAGGAGGCCCAGAGACCTGAACGCAGACGCTTCTCCCGCGGCCTACAGCGTCTTCTCCCCACCGAAGGACCAGGAAACCGCAGTTTTCATCACAGAGGTACCGTGCTCTGCGCTCCACGCCCGGCTCAGCCTGCTGTGGCGGCGCCTCCTTCCTTCCTTCTTCCCTCGCTCTCTTTCTCGCCCGCCCGCGCCTTCTCTGTCTGCCTGCGTCACCGCGGCCGCCATGGCTGAGAACGGCGAGAGTAGCGGCCCCCCGCGCCCCTCCCGCGGCCCTGCCGCGGCCCAAGGCCCTGCCTCTGCCCCGGCCGAGCCCAAAATCATCAAAGTTACTGTGAAGACCCCCAAAGAGAAAGAGGAGTTCGCGGTGCCCGAGAATAGCTCAGTCCAGCAGTTTAAGGAAGCGATTTCAAAACGCTTCAAATCCCAAACCGACCAGCTAGTGTTGATTTTTGCCGGAAAAATCTTAAAAGATCAAGATACCTTGATTCAGCATGGCATCCATGATGGACTGACTGTTCATCTTGTAATTAAAAGCCAGAACCGACCTCAGGGCCAGTCCACACAGCCTAGTAATGCCGCGGGAACTAATACTACCTCCGCGTCGACTCCCAGGAGTAACTCCACATCTATTTCCACAAATAGCAACCCGTTTGGGCTGGGGAGCTTAGGAGGACTTGCAGGCCTTAGCAGCCTGGGCTTGAGCTCGACCAACTTCTCTGAGCTCCAGAACCAGATGCAGCAGCAGCTCCTGTCCAGCCCTGAGATGATGATTCAAATCATGGAAAATCCCTTTGTTCAGAGCATGCTTTCAAATCCCGATCTAATGAGGCAGCTCATTATGGCCAATCCACAGATGCAGCAATTGATTCAGAGAAACCCAGAAATCAGTCACCTGCTCAACAACCCAGATATAATGAGACAGACCCTCGAAATTGCCAGGAATCCAGCCATGATGCAAGAGATGATGAGAAATCAAGATTTGGCTCTCAGCAATCTTGAAAGCATCCCAGGTGGCTACAATGCTCTACGACGCATGTACACTGATATTCAAGAACCCATGCTGAATGCTGCACAAGAGCAGTTTGGGGGTAATCCATTTGCCTCGGTGGGAAGCAGTTCCACCTCTGGGGAAGGTACACAACCTTCCCGCACAGAAAATCGAGATCCACTACCCAATCCATGGGCACCACCACCGGCTACCCAGAGTTCTGCAACCACCAGCACAACCTCCAGCAGTGGCAGTGGCTCTGGCAGTAGCTCCAGCAGTGCTACTGGGAACACCGTGGCTGCAGCCAACTATGTTGCCAGCATCTTCAGTACCCCAGGAATGCAGAGCTTGCTGCAACAGATAACTGAAAACCCTCAACTGATCCAGAATATGCTGTCTGCACCCTACATGAGAAGCATGATGCAGTCGCTGAGCCAGAATCCAGATTTAGCTGCACAGATGATGCTGAATAGCCCGGTGTTTACTGCAAATCCTCAGTTGCAGGAGCAGATGCGTCCACAGCTCCCAGCTTTCCTGCAGCAGATGCAGAATCCAGACACACTATCAGCCATGTCAAACCCAAGAGCAATGCAGGCTTTAATGCAGATCCAGCAGGGGCTACAGACATTAGCCACTGAAGCTCCTGGCCTCATTCCAAGCTTCACTCCAGGTGTGGGGGTAGGGGTGCTGGGAACCGCTATAGGCCCTGTAGGCCCAGTCACACCCATAGGCCCCATAGGCCCCATAGTCCCATTTACTCCCATAGGCCCCATTGGGCCCATAGGACCCACCGGCCCTGCAGGCCCTGGCTCTACTGGCTCTGGAGGCCCCCCTGGGCCCACTGTTTCTAGCTCTACACCCACCGAAACCACTAGCCCAACATCAGAATCTGGACCCAACCAGCAGTTCATTCAGCAAATGGTGCAGGCTCTGGCTGGGGCAAGTCCTCCACAGCTGTCGAATCCAGAAGTCAGATTTCAGCAACAACTGGAACAGCTCAACGCAATGGGGTTCTTAAACCGTGAGGCAAACTTGCAGGCTCTAATAGCAACAGGAGGCGACATCAATGCTGCCATTGAAAGGCTGCTGGGCTCCCAGCCATCCTAATTACATTTCTGTACCTTGAAAAAAATGTATCTTATTTTTGATAATGGCTCTTAAATCTTTAAACACACACAAAAACATGCTTTACTTTCATTTTGATTCTTTTAAATCTGTCTAGTTATAAGTCTAATATGCATTTTAAGGTGGAGTCCATTCTTCTGTCCCTCCTTCCTGTATCTGCCCTTCCTGCCTGCCTGCCTGCCTTCTTTCCTCCCTCCCTCTCTCTATCCCTTTTCCCTTCCTTCCTTCCTTCCTTCCTTCCTTCCTTCCTTCCTTCCTTCCTTCTCTGTTTTGAATGGTGGTAATTGTAATCAATGCTGTTTCACTCAAAGGTGTTGCATGCAAACACTTCTCTTTATTCTGCATTTATTGTGATTTTTGGAAACCGGTATCAGCCTTCACTGTTAAGTGGATAAGTTTTGTCCTACAGATGTCCAATTTATTTGCATTTTAAACATTAGCCTATAATAGTAATTTAATGTAGAATTAAAATATTAAAAACAAGCAAATTATTTGAAGTTCTCCAATTTGTGGTACAATATTGCTTATTGTGACTTTGGCATGTTTTTGCTAGCAAAATGCTGTAAGATTTATACCATTATTTGCTCTTTTTGCTATGTTTTACACAGTACAGTAAGCACAATTGGAACTGTACATCTAGAATTATTACAACAGAATCTAAGCAGAATATGTGTAACCAAAATAAGAAAGAATATAAGAATTATTTCTGGAGCTAGGTATATGTCTCACAGTTTTGTAGAATCTTACAGCATCTTTGATAAATTCAGTGAAAATGTTGGCTAGGCAAGTTCAGTTAAAATATAGTAGAAATGTTTATCCTGGTATTTCTAAGTATACATTTAATTGTACAGAAAACTTACAGTGTGACATTGTGTCAACATTTTCAAATTAACTGTATATGACCGTAATTTTTGTGCAGCCTGAAGGATCAGTGTAGTAATGCCAGGAAAGTGCTTTTTACATAAGACTTCCTTCTCAGCTTTTCCCATAAAGAGACCCTAATAAGCATTTTGATCTGTAATTGGAAATGTAACTTTCACTGAAAAGTGTCATGTGATGTTTGCATTACTTTTACCTGCTATGTATAAAGGAAACTGTATCTTTTGACTCTATCAGTTATTTCTCTTGTGCATAGGGAAAAATGCATTAAAAATGGCTAAAAAAATAAAAAAGTTAAAAATGGATAAATCTTTTCTTTTTTGCCTTCTGGCTCTAGGATCATGTTTAGCAGGATTGCCCTACCTGAAGATTATATAAATCTTATCCTGTATTTCTCTAATTTTTATGGTTTTGTTAAAAAAAAATACCATTGCCCTATTTGAAACTTTCTGATGTATGGGTTTAGGTATTCTAACTTTTTTTTTCCCCAAAGGATTAGTCAATTGTTAGCCAATATTTGTCTTGTCCACCCCCGATTTGATATGTCATGAATATACTTATGTATATAAATACATATATATGTATATGTATGTACATATATTAGTGTGTGTATATACATATACATACACACACCCACACTCTTACGTGTTTCAGTGCTCTTTAGTACCACTGAATATTGTAGTCCCAGTCTACCAGCCTGTAGTTACTAAGTTAGAAATATTACTTCATATCTGTTTGGGTAAGTCCTATTGATCTTTTCAGTTTTTATTTTTCAGTTTTCTGGCGATTCTGACATGTTTATTTTAGCAGATTAACTTTACAGTTAATAGCCCCCCTTAAATAAAATTTGGTTGCTGTTGTCTTAAATTGATGGTAAGAACTACAGAATTGCAATGCTTTCCAGAGATGTGATATGTTGCCTCATTTTTAAAAAAGTGTTTTGGGATCCCTGGATGGCGCAGCGGTTTGGCGCCTGCCTTTGGCCCAGGGCGCGATCCTGGAGACCCGTGATCGAATCCCACATCGGGCTCCCAGTGCATGGAGCCTGCTTCTCCCTCTGCCTGTGTCTCTGCCTCTCTCTCTGTGTGTGTGACTATCATAAAAAAATAAAAAAAAGGAAGAAAGTGTTGTGTTTAAAAAAAAATAAAAAAGTTTTATGTCCTTCAAGAAAGTTTTATGTATTTAAGTCCTATATAATTTATGATAAATATATTCCGAGGACAGACATACAGGAAACAATACTGTGATTCGTATTCAGTGTGGTTCCTATTTGGTCATTTTTGTTATATAGGGGAAGAATATATTTTCATAAGTTTAAGCTGGCAGTTTACTGAAATTTATTAAATTTAGGAGATATTCAGTTGATCCTTTGAGTTATTCCTGGTAAGCAATCATATCAATTATAACTTAAAATAATATGTTTTCTTTCTTTTCAAAATTTATAAAATAGTTTCTGACTGCATGGATTAATAAACACTTTCAGAACAGTGCTAAATAATAAAAGTGGTAGTGACATTCTCATTTCTTATTTTAACAATACTTAGATATTTAACTGTTTGCTATAACAATTCTAAATTGCATTTTTCAAAATAAGCATTCCTTCTAATAAAACTCTGTGAATGTTTCGTATTGTTACTTTTAAGATCCTTTGCTCTATCTCACTATTTAGATAGATCTTTTACTTACATGCTTAATTTTATAAGATTATGCATTGGTTGTTTGGAAACCAGTGATTCACTAAGTTATGCAGATGTTCCAAATGTTGACACATTTCATTAATAACTCATATTCACAGTCATATTAATATAAAAAATAAAATAAGCATTCTTTAGGAAATGGTCAAATGATTTTGCAAAATGCTGTCTGTATACTATAGCTTTCCTTAGTCATTCTGCAATAAATATTGACTAGTGTTATTTTTTTAAAGGAGTATGTTCTTTAGTTTAAAAGAATAATAACTAACTTTGATTCAGCGTTTCCCCAAGAAATACCTTTTTTTAATTTTAAACACATCTAATAACATTTGGCCTATCCATGTTCCTTAGAACACCAAATTAGGAAATGGTGATTTATTATTTCAGTGCTATATGTTATTGGTTGGTTGAGATAATTACAAAGTCTGCCATAATAAACTTAATAACTTTAATGACGTGGATGATTTTATAGGGAAATAAATACCAGAATAAGACATTGGCATAGAAAATAGCAATGAATCAATAGCCATAGGAAGACTAATGCCTGAGTCCTGGCTCAGACAATTTGGCAGGTAAATTTCTTTTAAAGAGTCAAGGAATGGAATCCTTTAATTACCCTTGCCAAATATTTATCTACTTTTTACACTTGATCTTAACCAAAAAGCTAAGAAGTGATAGATCTATTTCTTGATACTTTTTGTTTTCTCCCTGAAAAGATCTAGGTCTTAAAATTATTTTTTTCTTTCTAATTCATTAATTTTTATTTATAACATTATTGGCTCTCAGTTGTTCTTTATCTCTTACATGTTGTGATACTATCTTAGAAGTTCTTTTTATGGGTTCTTTTTTTGTTTTGGGTTTTCTTCATCTACTGTTAATTCATAGTTTATCTACTTATTCATTATTGAATCATGAAAGGTATATCCTGACTTGCTGTTTCTGTCCCTCCAATAAAAGTGGGGCATTTCTTACATGATTATACTGTTTATTTGGTTGTCACTCTTTCCCTAAAATTATACTGGACGGCTGGATGGTATAAGTGTACATCGCTGGCTCTGTGATCCGGAATGATGAGGTAATGGAGAGGGAAGCAGGGTCAGGGGCAATTCTAGCAGAAGTTCACCCCACGACAGCTTTCTACACTTGCTCTTTTGGCCTCTACTTGAGTTATGTGGTATCATATATACTCTCACCACTTCTGTGGGGCAAGGGAGTAGATGCACAACATTGAAACAAACCTTGCTGATTCATTAAAGAGGACTCTTGCATCAGGTCTCACTATGTTTATTCAGAAGCCATTATCAGAGATTGAGTTTGCCCTTTGAGAGGGTAGACTGCTCTGAATTCTGTTGATCTACAGTGTTGAAATAGCAACAAATAGAGTAATTCCTGTCAGGGCCTAGCCTAAGGATTGGAGTGAGGGTATTAGGAGAGCCATTTGGCCTGTGTCTCCTGTTCACAAAGGGACTTAAATTTAGAATTTTTACATTATCCTCAAATGAAGTGATTACTCCAGCCACAGAGCCAGACTGACAATGATGGAAAATGTTCATCATACAGCTTAATTTACTAAATGTAAGATTTTTAAACTATGGGGATCCCTGGGTGGCTCAGCGGTTTAGCGCCTGCCTTCGGCCCAGGGCATGATCCTAGAGACCCGGGATGGAGTCCTGCGTCGGGCTTCCTGCATGGAGCCTGCTTCTCCTTCTGCCTGTGTCTCTGACCCCCCCCCCATGTCTATCATGAATAAATAAATAAAATCTTTTAAAAAAAGATTTTTAAACTATGCAGCAATTTTGATATTCCTAATTTGGTGTGATGTTACTTTAAAAATATACTAGGATACTTAAATGGGAAGTTACTCAGACTTCCTTCAGCTTACTAGAGGTTTTCATCCTAGTCTTTTTTACTGCCTGCCCCCACCTCCAGTCATTACTCTTTTAAACTACATGGTATTAGTGGGTTTCTGTCAGGATTTTCTTGATCTGTTAGCATATTACGGAGTTTCTTATAGATTGGTGATATTCTTCAATTTTGCCCCATCAGCATCATGTCTTGGAGAAATTCCTTGACAGTTCTGCTGCCATCATTATATAGGTTTTGCTTAGTGTTTGTTTCTCTGTAGTCATTTTTGTTGATTTGTAGGAGGAAGGGCAAGAATTTGAGACCTGTTCTAATACTACCATCTTCCCAGAAGTCTGTTAGGAGACTTAGGGGGAAAGCAATTTTCTAAAAATAGAAGAGTACGATTTGGCAGACATTAGACAAGCAGCTTCATCAAATGGTGTACATGCTAACCTAGGCTTTAGACACTTTGATGATAGATAAAAACCTTGGCAAAACCTACTCTAAACCAACAAACTCAAAAGTGAGTAAGCTACCCACAAATAAAATAGTTGTTTGTCCTAACATACATGTGCAATGTTCATCAAATGGATATGTATGAGGGCGTGTACTCTAGCTGTAGTGAGGTATCTGGGCACAGATTTGGGTTTCCTAAGAGTATTTTCAAAATCCAACTTCATAACGTCTGGGCCCAGTGTGTAGATTAGCACATGTAGGGTAATTTCAGAAAAGATTCTATAATTCATTTTTAAAAGAATAGTTGATGAATGTGAAAAAAAATGACTAGTTTGCCCTGGTATGCATTTCACAAGATTGTCTTACCAAACTAAATTTTCTATTAGACTGGATAACAATAATAACTAATGTATTCATGATAATGCTCAATTTCATAACCCTATAAGGTTATAAGTACTATTATTTAATCTTCCCCAGTTTACAGAAAAGGAAAAAAGCTAAAAGTTTAATTTTGCAAGGTCATATTACTATTAAGTGACAGAATCAACATTTGAACCTACTTCTGAAATTACAGAATGTACACTTAACCAGTTCACTATTCTGCTTTCCCCTGAGACTATTAAACTATACTGGTCTATTTACCATAGAGATATTATAATAAATTAAATACTAGCTGGCCTCCTGGGTGTTGTTGAGGAGACATAATAGCTGTTTTTAAATGAATACGCCTCTGCTGCTATTCACCCTGGAGCAGGTTACATAAAAATGTATGTGTGAGAATCAACTCTGACACAATAACTAGAATTTGGAGTTTTGCCTTTCTGACTTTTGAATTGTGACTAGTATTTGAAACTCTCCTTTAATATTTCTGTCCACAGTGGCCTAATACATATGGTATGTCTCCAAATTGGCAATCACATGGGCCACTTGTGCTTCAGCTGCTCTAGAGGATGCCTGTCTTTTATTGAGCTGCCTTCTGGAGACCTCAGAAGGCAATAAACATTATGTGCCTCACCATGGCATTTGACAGTTTCTCAAAATGTCCTTGAGAATAAAATGGAGTAACATGAGCTAGATGATAAAGACAGGACAGTAGATGGGTTAATAATTTGAATTGACTGTCCAACAGTGTGTCATTGTGGACAAGAAGCTTTCAGTTTCAGTTCTATCCTATTAAAATTATTTGTGAATGGCTATCAAGAAAACATAAAATAGCTTGTTCATCTCACTGCAAATAGTATAGAATTAGAAAGCAGAATATATGGACTGGATGTTGTTAGCAAGATCTCAAGACTCCTTAGTATCCCGAAGGAAAAATAGCCAAATTTAGCAGGATTAAATTGAATAGGATCAATTGTGAAGTCTTTATAAAAATTCAGTTACCAAAGATAAGTAGTTATGTGGCTTAAAAACAGCATGCATGCCAAAGACTCAGTGGTTTTAATTTACCATGAGTTCAACATATACCATGTGAGGTTCTAGTGCACACACACATATATAATGAAATCTTAGGTTCCATTAAGAGATACATGGTGTCCAGAACAAAGAACTCCTTTGTAATGTTTTTTATTCTGTATTTGATAGCTAATTTTGGGAGATTTGGGTCATCTTAGAGTGCCACAATTAAGATGGACATAGGCAATCTGGAAAGTGATTAAGATGGTGACTCATGTACACATACATAACAATTATTGAATGGGTCAAAAATGTTTTAGTCTAAGGATTGAGGTTTGTGGATACTTTCTTCAGATAATCGGAAGCCTTGTCAGAAGAAGGGTAACATTTACTTGTGTAGCTCCAAAGGGCAGATCAATTCAAATGTTATGAGAAGTCAGAAGTTTGGCTTCCTGTTACAAACTTTCTACCCATTTATTGAAGATACCCTCCTCTCTGGAGCTGTTTAATTGAAGCCAGCCTATCTATCTATCTATCTATCTATCTATCTATCTATCATCTATCTATCTAAAGATTTTATTTACTTATTTATGAGACAGAGAGAGAGAGAGAGAGAGAGAGAGAGAGAGACAGGCAGAGGAAGAAGCAGGTTCCATGCAAAGAGCCTGATGTGAGACTCAATCCTGGGTCTCCAGGATCATGCCCTGGGCTGAAGGTGGCGCTAAACCGCTGAGCTACCCAAGCTGCCCAACTGAAGCCCATTTAACAGAAATGTTCAAGAATGGTTTTATGCATTTGGTAGAACTTTGAATAAGAAGGCCTCCAGTATTCCTTCCAAAGAAAAGGTTCTCCTAAAAAAAAAAAAAAAAAGGTTCTCCTAGTGGGTTTTAAAGCTTCTAACTAAAGTTGCAAGGTCTGGGATCAAAGATGTTCCAGAATGATGTCATGTTGCAGACTATCCTGCATTTCTTAGTTTAGTAAACAGCAACTCAGAAGTAAAACACATACCTTGATTACATAAAATCTGAGTAAATCTGTTAGGCATTTTATTTCTGGATGCTATACGTGGGGAAAGGACTCAAACTGCAAGATCTTAAAGTCACTGTCATAAACTGCTGACAGCTTGGAAAGAGGACATAGGGGATGCCTGAGGTCAAAGGATCCTGGTTTGAGGGTGAAAGTTATAGGAGTACTCTGACTTGATTCTCATGATAATATTCTGCTACCCTCTGACACTTAACGTGGTAGAAGGAAGCTAAAAGCAATAGTGGAATATAAGAGGTGATAGCAGAGTACATATATATTCTTCATTCCATATGTAATTCTCTAGTTAGACTGATCCTTTTGGAGCAGGAAAACGGTTTGTACTGTGTTTTCCATGATACCTCGGGTTTTATTATGTCCAAGAAAATTAGGATTTTCTTTTAACTAAGCTTTAGGCTGAACATGGGGTTTGAACTCACAACCCTGCAATCAACAGTCACATGCTTTACTAACTTAGGTGCCCCTTAACATAGGATTTTGATTCATTATGCTTTATAATCTTTATAAGTTTGATTCATTATGCTTTATATTCCTTATAAGTTGCCCAGAGACTCCAAGGTGTCTAGAAAAGAACCTCATGGAACTGAGGACAGGGTGAAACACATCAATTTCCCTATTTCAGGAATGTGAATTGAATCTCAAATATGTATGTAAGTGTGTATGTATATGTCTTTGCTCTTGCCAGCTAAATGAAGGTCCCTTCACATACTCTTATACTGACGAACTGCCCTCACACATTCCTCACACAGATATTTGCCTTTTCCATGAACCTTGAACTGGGTTCAAGGTAATAATAACCACATATTATGTGACCAGATGCTATGGGAAAATTTTCTTAACATTCTTGCTTTATTCACACCCCTGCTTCCATTTCTGGATGTATTCCTATGTCTAGATGGCTTGAGCCACTTTGACTTTTTATTAAATAAACCTTTTATCTTAAACTAATTTTAAAGAAAAAAAGC